GAATACATAATCAGCAATAATCATTTTCTATTTGGTTCCCTCTTTCTTCTCCTATTTAATGCATAAGAAGCCACCACTATATTCTCAAGTTGTTCTGCTTTGGTACAATATACATATTCAAGAAACATTACTCACTGGCCCCTCTGTTACCTGAGTCACTTGAAATCACTCTAGAACAGGGCCAACTTTAGCCCGAATTAAGAGTGTGTTTTACATTTTTAAAGGGTTATAAACATAAAATAATAAAACAAACAAGAATATGTAACAAAGACCATATGTGGCCTGGTGAAGCCTAGAATATTTACTATCAGCTCTTCTAATAAAAAAGTCAGCCAGTCCCTGCTATACCTTACAAACTTAAAAAGCTTGAAGGGTTCAGTACCTAGAACACTGGTAGTTTTAGGGACCTGTGTTTTAATGAGTTGAAGGGCTCAAGAATAAACCACATCTTTCCCCGTGCCTCATTTGCATGTAAGAAAATAAATTTAATAAAATTGGTAGCTTAGCTCCCCAAATTCAAATGTTTATGCCCATTCCCTTTCTCAACAACTAGATTCTCAACATCCCATGATTCAGTTATAAATGGAGACTGTAGTTCCTTATTAATAGCAAGTGTTGAGACAATCACAAGTATGTAGCTCTAGCAGCACTGTCCAACAGAACTTTCTGCAATATGGAAATGTTTTCTAAATTCTGCACTGTCCAATACAGACAGTAGCCACTAGCCACGAGTAGCTAATGAACACCTGAAATGTGTGTAGTATGATTAAGAAACTGAATTTTAAATTTTACTTAGTTTTAATTTATATTTAAATTTAAATAGCCATATGTAGCTTATGGCTACATATTAAAGAGTACAGATCTATAAGTGGAGACTGGAGTAATGATGGATCATCCTCAAGCACTTAGAGTAGAGGAGACCCTAAGGATTTATGTGAGAACAAGAAAAAAATACCTTCATTAATAAATCATAATACATCACAAACTACCTGGAAAAGACAATAAAGATCTAACAAAAACTGAAATTTTAAAATAGATAGATAGGTAACTTTACCTTTCTAATGACATCCATTTGTAGTTGTCTTTCTACAATTTCTAGCAGAGGGCTCTTGCAGCTAGAATACAGCATCCGTTCTCTTATACTGCATGTGTATCCAGGCATTGAATAAATAAAAACTGTAAGTTAAAATAATAAATACAATTAGCAATACATCAATTAAAGCAAATACTAAGCCTCACAGAACTATAACTAAGTCCTCTGGGCAAGAAGTAAGAATACAGTGCTAAAAAAATCAATAAACCAAATGAAAATAACATGTTAAAACAATATATTATCTACCTATGGACTCCAAATAGTCTCCTTCATGGGAATGTTTATACAAGAAGAAATGGTAACGTGCTGAATCCTTGGGAATCCTCTTTGGCAAATCTTTTAGTTCTGTATTTGTTGTGTTGGCCAAAATTATAATTTCATTTTTTATATCTATTTCCTGTCAATAAGAAATACATTCATTAAAATAGATACACAGCAATTTAAAATTTATAGTAAAAAACACTAGGAGACAAGGGGAAACTTACACAGGTTTGACTTTTCACAATGAACATATATTGTCTCATAATTTTAAGAAAATGAATAAAAAAATCAGGAAACAAAACAATTTTAAATCCATTAAAAATAAACCTTGTATGCGCCATGAGCCACCAAAAACAGCAGCCAGTTCATAATTATCATATGTCTCTTACCAATTGCACATAGTTGAGCTGTCTGTTACTTAACTGTTCCAAAGCCTGAAAAGCTTCTCGAGAAATAGGAAATGCTACTCCTTGTAGTGTTTGATGCTTAGTGTCCACACCCACGTCAGTTTGTACCTAAGTATGACAGATTTAATTTACTGATGAAGTTTTAGCATTTAGTAGTGTCATACGGCAAAGATAAGAAAACCCAATCTCTATCAAGTGTCATTCCACCCTTGCCCATTTTAATATAAGTAAAATTAACATTTAAAGTATTACGAACTTAAAAAGCAAGTAATTTTTCACATTTGTTCATGTTCTGCTAGCATTCTGTCGACATGCAGAGTGCATGACACATCTTTATGAAATGTTGGGAGTGAACATTTGAGTGAGTATGCAGTGTTAGTGGGGCTTTGGGGGGGAGGTTGTTTATATGTTTGGTTTGGCACATTTGCAATGAACTTCATAAGTTCTTTCAAGTGTCCTCAGTTTACACCTTTAATTACAAAATTTTACTTGATAAAATTTATGAACAGTGTGATATATATACAATATGTATCAAACTTTACTTTGTTCTGTTAGACATAAAATGCAACACAAACACCATGCATTGAATTGAAAGGAGTACGAACAGTATACAAAGACACAACACAGCTCAACAAATTATACTACTGCAGAAGTTCCAGACTTTGAGCTTTCATTACTAAGAACATGGGTGTGCAAATATAGATGAGTACTTTAAGAAAGCTTTCAATGTACATGTTTTAAGACTTTTATACTCAAATGATAGCTAGTATAGGGTCTCATTTGCAGTGTTGCAACAGAAAGTCAAATAGAAATTTTACTTTTAAAAAAACGAATGGAGATTCTACAGCATAAATGATACTGGATAATGAAAACATCATAAAACATATGCAAATGCATACCCCAATACGATCCTCTGGGTTCTGATTGCAAGGAATAAAACAAACTATCAAACTTGCAAAAAAAAAAAAATCACATAAAAATCTTTACTCAAATAACTTGAGTTAAAATAATATAAAGATAGATCCTTGCTCTCAGGTTAATATTAAATAATATTAAATCACTTTCCAGACTGATTCCTATTAGTTGGTTACTCAGACTAGTGAATAGTGGTTTCTGCTACTTGTTCTTTCCTATAAAATCCCAGTAGAAATATAGTAACTATTCTAACTTGTAATTAGAACAGCTGCAGTAAACACATTAGAAATATGATAAACTATAATATGGACGAAATTTATTGACTCTAATATAACTGAGCTAATAAACAAGTACTCAAAACACCATCTCCCATATATACATATGCATCCAAGTAGTGTTCAGAGAAGTTAATTTATAGAGCTCCTAGAAATACTAAATATCTTATAGCATTTACATTTTACTCTCTTTAGTCACCAAACAGAATAATGTAATAAAACAATAGAATGTAACAAAACAAACCTGCTTCGGCAACCTCATTAGAGAGAATTCTTTGCCCAAAATGGGTAACACACATTTTTCCCATTTATCTAGTATTCAAAGTACAAAGTTAAAAAAAGTTGTACTTCCAACAGGAAGATTTACTATTCCGTCACATACATTACAAATATAGGAGGAAGTTACTTATGAAATTAATACAAATTTTAATATTTACTGTTAACTTTTTTCCTGAAAATACAATGAGCACAGTCTTGTCTCTAAACTATACAGAATAAATGCAAGCTACCTAACTTACTTATTCTCTAGTTACCTCTACATCTATTAATTAAAAATATTTTTTCAAACACTTAAAATCTCGCAAGAGTATCAAAACTGTAATTTACCTCATTAATTTTAATCTGCCGTAATTCTTCCTCAGCTGCAGTCAATGGGGCAGGAGAAGACTGTGACACCAAGTATTTTTTATAACCATATAATGATACATCTTCCTGTAAACACAGAAATGGATTGTTACTAGTTATTCCCTAGACAACCTCCATGAAGTCACTTTAGGAAAAACAAAATTATTAATTTAACATAAAACATTTTGATTGAAAAATAGTATCAAGAATTTTACTATTTCTTATTTTTCAAAAATCCTCTTTCAAAAAATTTTTCAAAAAAATTTAAGGGGGAGTACTTACTCTTCATTTCCTTAAGCTTCCCTAAAGTTTTCTAGTTACTAATGGGTATGAGTGTGGTGGTGGTGATGTCAGTCAAATGATGAACTTGGTCATGTTCAAGTCTACAGGATGATTATAATTAACTTACTGGGGAAGTCTGACCCATAACTATTCAATAATCAACACATTCAGATTCTGAATTCTCTATTTTACTGATTTATACAATTTCTCTATAGTTTTTCATAGAAAATGATTATAGCTCTTATTTAAAAGAATAAAATATTCCAAAGAGGTCTACTTTTTCATCAAAATTTTGTGATTTGAAAGAATGAGAATAGAAAAGAACTGAGAAAACAGGCCACCTCACAATTAATGGTGAACAAGCAAAATATTCCCATCCAGTCTTGTGGTCTATCCACTAGATAATATTACTGTTCAAAACATATTTCATTTTTCTTAATTTGTGTATATATGTATAAATATATCTCTTTACCATATAATTTTTATTAAAGTAAATTCTTAATCATTTACTAATTAAATGTATTTAATCAACTATCCCAATTAATTATCAATCAATTTATCTGCCTCAATGTTCCTGGTTTAAATAATATGCATAGTTACTGCTTCTACATGGGTATAAATGCCCAAAATATCTAAAAATTAACATCTCTTTCAAGTAGTCTCTCATTTTTCTGAACCTCTTTCCCTATCCTTAAAGTGAAAAGGCTGAACTAAATGAGGGGTTAAACTAGATGATCTCTAAGGTATCGTGTAGTTTCTAAAGACTAACAAAGGATATTCCAACATATTTTAAAAGGGTAAGTACATGTTTTAGTTAACTTGCTTATCATATGAAATATAGTAATATTTTCTCTTATTCTTATGTTTACAGATTCATTAGTCTGATTTCGTATCAATTACCCATTACCTAGAAGTCCTTATATTGGTTTAATTCCAACACGTGGAATCCACATATATATAAATATAAGTTTTGTACCTTTACTGTTCCAAATACTTCATCCTTAATGTGGCCACCTCCAAATTCCTTTTTCAGAGTTGCTCTTGTTGCCGCATACAACATTTTTTGACGAACCTAGTAAGTTGTGTAAGTTTACTTAGTTTATAGATGAAAACTATCATTACAAAAGAAAGTATTTTCTGAATGTATTAAAATCTTCAAGCACATTAAACATAAACTGTGATAAAGCTGAAGTCCAGGGGCTGCAATATGCTAAAGTATATGTGTACAAGTAGCCATCGTAACACTTCATCTATTAAGGTAGATTTCAATTTATAATATGTCATATTTTACAAAAATTGGGAAACTAAATTTTAAAAACTTACTTTTCAAAGTATACAAGGAGTTCAAGAATTAAAAAAAAAAAACTACTTAAAATACTACTTTAAGGGCAACGCTGCAGCCTCGGGTCAAAATGCGAGTAGGCCTGCAGTTGCACCATCAAGCCGGTGGCTGCAGGGTATTCGAAAATGGTACTACAATGCTGCAGGGTTCAATAAACTGGGGTTAATGAGAAATGATACAATATATGAGAATGATGATGTGAAAGAGGCCATAAGGCTTCCTGAGAACCTTTATAATGACAGGATGTTTCGCATTAAGAGAGCACTGGACCTGACCATGAGGCATCAGATCTTGCCTAAAGAGCAGTGGACAAAATATGAGGAGGATAAATTCTACCTTGAACCATATCTGAAAGAAGTTATTCGGGAAAGAAAAGAGAGAGAATGGGCAAAGAAATAATGATGGAGTTGAAATCTGTGGTTGCAGCTGCCCTCAAATATCTTTAAGAAGTTGAATAAACCTGAAATGTACAATTTAGAACTATCTGAGCTGCAAATGTATTACTTTAAATAAATGTCTATGGTGATTAAAAAAAAAAAATACTACTTTAAGATATGAGGAAGAAAACATCACTTGAAATAAAGTAACCTGGATACTGACATTTTACTCAAAGCAAATCAAGATCAGATGTTACTAATTAAGCTGTTTAAGAATCAAATGTTGGGCGCCTGGGTGGCTCAGTTGGTTAAGCGACTGCCTTCGGCTCAGGTCATGATCCTGGAGTCCCAGGATCGAGTCCCGCATCGGGCTCCCTGCTCGGCAGGGAGTCTGCTTCTCCCTCTGACCCTCCCCCCTCTCATGCTCTCTGTCTCTCATTCTCTCTCTCTCAAATAAATAAATAAAATCTTTAAAAAAAAAAAAAAAAGAATCAAATGTTTATGGCATACCTATGGCATATACCATTCTATGAGGAATACAAAGATGAAAACAACTACAATAAAAACTATTATTAAAGAATCTAATAGCAACTGTTGAAAACTACTAAAGGTAACTGCCAACCAATAGAAATAGTTTTATAATACTGCATCGTCAAATCCAGTAATCTGAATCATTCTAACTTTCCTAAAAGAAATACTTGTGTGTATGCCTATCATTTGAATGGTAGCTAGTAAGAGTATTTACTATAACATTCAATTAGGTCTCAGAATTATTCCAAGTATTATTTTCAGAGCATAGTCATTTATATATAATTGACAAAGATATTTAAATTTAAAATCAGTAATAATTCTGTTGATTTCAAGGGCAAGACTTCTGAATCTAAGTATATTACTCCCGACTCTACATTACCAATATGAGGATTTTCTTCATGATCACTCCCTTCAATGGGAAATAACTATTGCTTCTTAACTTTCTCTTGGCCTAGGACTATTTCAGAAAAAAAAAAAATTTCTAGCATTTAATGTTAAACAAGTTACAAAAAAGTTACTTACATGAGAATGATCTGGAGACCAGGCAATGAATATCCATTCATATCCCTGGGCATTCTGAGAATCTAACCTGAATAATATATAGCATGGTTGTTTGTCCTCCAGTAGGGGTAAAACAAAGGAATCATAATCCTTATCCCAGGAATCTGAAGGCTGACTACATGATCCAATCACAAGTTTCTCTATGAAGAACAATTTTTAAAAGACACATGAATTGTTTTAAATACCAAATGGTAATGAAGAAAAGAATAAACTAATAATACAGTCATCTCCTATTACTATTATTCATATCAAGAAGTTACACCTGGGTGGCTCAGTCAGTTAAGCATCTCCTTGGGTTCAAGTCATGATCCCAGGGTCCTGGGCATGGCATCAGGCTCCCTGCTCAGAGGGGAGTCTGCTTCTCCCTCTGCCCCTCCCCCCCACTCGTGTTTTCTCTCAAATAAATAAACAAAATCTTAAAAAAAAAAAAACATATGAAGATTTTATGACTAGCATGGTTAAAATGTTTTATTTAATAAACACAAGAAAAGGGCGCCAGGGTGGCTCAGTCGTTAAGCGTCTGCCTTCGGCTCAGGTCATGATCCCAGGGTCCTGGGATCAAGCCCGCATTGCATCGGGCTCCCTGCTCCGCGGGGTGTCTGCTTCTCCCCCTCCTTCCTGCTCGAGCTCTCTCTATCTCTGTCTCTCTCAAATAAATAAAGAAAAGAAAAGAAAGGAAGTATTAAAACCAGGTTTAGTGCTTACTTGGCCATAATGCTACAAATAAAAAACTTTTGTCCAGAAGCATAAATTGGTGCAGCCATTTGGCAGAATCAAGTAAAACTGTGAATGTTCTCTGCATAGAAAATCTCTTACATTAAAAAAAAAAAACCTAGAAGACAAATTAAAAAAAAAAAAGAAAGAAAATCTCTTAAACATACGTTCACTGCACTATATAAGAACAGTGGAAGCTGCAAGTACCCTAAGTGTTCATCAGTAAGAGAATGATCACATACTATGTGGCATAGTTATATGATGAATTCATATTTAAAAATAGTGAGCTCTTTGTCAAAACTAATTACAAAAATAATGTTTACAGAAAAAAGATCCAGAATATCAGTTTACATGAACTTAAAAACTCAAAACAGCACTATAAGCTATCTAGGAATACATATAAAAACTGCAAAAATATAAAAACTCCTAATATAGTTGCTTCAGGAAGAGGAGGTCAGGAAGTGAAACTGTTTAAAGGGGATGCCCTTATATCACAAAAATATTAAGTTTAAAAAAAGCTGAAGCAAATATGATAAAATATTAGCAGTCATTAAGGGGAGATCGAAGTATTTGTTGTTTTTTTAATTCCTTTTCATTTCCTTAAAAATTTTCCTCAAAACAAAAAGATCAGAAAATGATGATTTAGGAAAGAGTGTCATTTTCCTTCTGTAGTGATCCTAGTTACACAAACTTTTCCATTTTAGTCACTTAACTAGTCAGTTAGGAAGTGATGGCCTCTAAAATTTAGCTCAATATTCCTAAAATATGCTGCTTTACAGTATATGTTTATTCCTATCGAGTGTGGCAATATATATTTACAACAACTGCATATTTTTCAAACTACTCTGGTATTTTTAATATATAAGTAGAAAATGGAAAGCAAATTAAGTTTACTTCCAGTTTATAAAAGAACAAGTTATTTTTCCAAAGCAAAGTATTTCCAGGTATTTAAGAAATTAGACCAATGGAATATATATATATATATATATATATTTTTTTTTAAAGATTTTATTTATTTATTTGAGAGAGAATGAGAGACAGAAAGCATGAGAAGGAGGAAGGTCAGAGGGAGAAGCAGACTCCCTGCTGAGCAGGGAGCCTGATGCGGGACTCGATCCAGGGACTCCAGGATCATGACCTGAACCTAAGGCAGTCGCTTAACCAACTGAGCCACCCAGGCGCCCACCAATGGAATATTTTAAGACATTCATTTGCAAGAATATTAATTGTCCAAATTCAAATATAGCCACATTAAAAGATTCTCCCACCCAATTTCCCTGCTATAGAATTATTTTGAAAGGATCAATTTACAGTTTATTACATTCTTAGAACTTTGTCCCAAAACAAGAAAGGGGGAATCATTTCTTCAGCACAAATTACAATCAAGTGGAGAAAATGGGAGTTTGAAATCCTTTGTTTCTACTACAAAACTAACTTTACTGAGTAACAATTCTCAAGTAATTTTTGGGGGGTGTTGGGAGAGACACCTGTTTACTGATTTCCATTCCAGAGATAGAAGCACTAACATTAGAAATGGGTTATGGTACAAAAACTGAGACAAAAAGTAAAAGAGGAAGATGTCACACCAAAAAAAAATCTTTCTGTTTCCCTGATAGTCAACTACAGAATTCAGAGGATAGGCAGCAGCCAATGGGACATGACCAAATGTACAGGATCCACGTTACCTAAAGGCAAGCTTTGAACTTGCTTCACATTAATTAACAGTTCCAATCACTGACCATGACTTAGAAATTTAAAAATATAACACTCAATAATCTAAGGACAAACAATATTTTAAAATGTATAACTAACCATTTTCAATAGATATTTTTAGAAGTCTGTATTTTCCATTTCTTGCTCTGGCAAAGATATCTTTAACATCTTCACTTGCTGTGGAAAAAGACAGACAAGTAAACCCATTTTTTATACTTATGTGTTAATACTTTCAAATGTTATTTAAATAAGGAGAAATGAATTGTAATAGAAGAAAAAATCTTGAGTATGTAGCATCCCCTTACTATCAGTAATTTAAACTACAAAACTTAAAGATATAACATAGCAGACACTGTACACAGCTAAGAAATATTAATATAGCTTAAAAGTATATTACTACTAATTCTAATCTGTTTTAACTAGATAATTCCAAAACAGAAATAACACTGGGAGTGAAAATACTAAAATTATTCAAATCCAATAATGAATAAATTACGATTTTAAAAAACACCTCTTGCTTGGTTGAAAATTGTTGAAAACCTTTCATTCTCTTCTAGTCCAATTTCAAAATTATAATAAAGATTCAATTCATTTCTATATTTTCACATTAAAAACAACCGTAAATATCAGATATCCTATCCCGATTAAACAAAAAAGTCAATAAAATGCATTCAAGCTTGTACTTCCGGTAATATTTTTCTAACTGGTATTTCTCAAAAAGCTAGAGTTAAGTTCACTAAGCAAATATATATTTAATAACCCTTCTGTTCCCATTAAAGCTTCAATTTCATTCTGATTTCATCCTTGGGTTGTATACTGAAAGCAAGAACCACTATTTAAGGAGTGATTGCTATAAGGCTCAAACATGAAAATCAATAATTACATATTTAAGTCTAACTCGGACAAACAAAACTGCTTTTAGGTTTGAGAGTATTTTGCTTGTGTTTGTGTGCGCAGGGAGAGGGGTGGGGTGGTCAAAGACTCATACGAACAAAACACAAGTAAATGTTCATCTGGGAAAGATTCGCGGTCTATTAACAGGAAGAGCGTGGGTTTATATTGGCACTCGTTAAGTAATCGCGAGTAACCCCGGGATATATTATTTGATTCTGATGAGGTGAGCGCTTCCAGACTGCCCATTTTCAAACCAAGAAATAATGGAGGTCAGATACAATTGCACACTGAACTGCCTTCACGGTATGATCGAATACAGCCGCAAAGACCAGGATTTTCAGTTCCCTGGGGAAGTACCTAAGAAAAAAATCAAAACACCCCATACTCAGGATTTCTCAGAACGTAAATTCATGTTTCCGTTTTAGAAGAAAGTGCTGAAGAGTCTGGGAAGCACCTTTACTGGGAGTGAAAAAGATTCCAGTATCTTTCGTTCTATAATCAAAATCCTGTAACAATCTCCTTCGCACTGTGAAAGGGAAATTCGCCCGTCTCTCTACAGCAAGAGGAGCCCCGGTCGCCTCCACTGTTTCAGGTCTCCCCTACCGGATAAAAAGGGGGAAAGTTGGGCTACCGTCAGGGGCGCTGGAAGGCACACCCCCTTCACCCAGGCCTCCTCGGAAACGAATTTCCCCCGCTTCTGCGAATTTCGGGTCAGTCTGTAACGTGTCGGCGGCCGGGCCGGGCTGGGAGGGACGCGGGCCGGGAGCGCCCGGGACCGGAACGCTCGGAGAGGCGCAGAGGCCCGGCGTGCCCCGCGAGACCGGCTCCCTTCCTCCGGGCCCGACTGCAGCCCTGCCAGTCCCGCAGCCCGCCCGGCTCGGCCGCAGCCTCCCGGGAGCCCCTTTCCCGCGCGCCGCTTCGGGCGCGGTTACCTTGGATGCCGGTCTGATGGGACATGGCGGCGGCCGCGGGCTCCCGGCTCCGGCGCTAAGTGCTGAGAGCGGCCCCGGCCGGCGCCTCCAGGAAGTGGCGGCTCCTCCGCCTGCCGCGGCGCGTCATCGGCCTGCGACCCGCGGCCGCCCCGCCCAGCTAGGCCGACAGCGTCCTCGCGCGCCCCTGTCGCCTCCGCCCCCTCCCCCGGCCCCCCACCCCCCACGCGCTCTTTGGAGCGCGGCAAATCCGCTCTCCGCCGGCGCACTCCTCCGGCTCTCGCCGGGGGTCACTGCCCTGGCGCTGCTGCGTCCCCACCACCGTGAAACCCCGCGGAGCCAGCTGGATGGCTTTGCCCTTTGGTGTCTGCCCTCCAGCGACCCTGCAGACGCCGCCATTCGCCGGTTCAGCAAAAAGATGCTCAAAAATGTAAATGACCATTTTTACTGAACATGTATTTTCAATTTTAAAAAGATGTGCACAGTATTTTTCTTAGTTCACTCTTCCGGTAATCTGTACAATGTGAAGGGTCACTCCCTGCCCTGTTTTTTTTAAATGAGGATTAATGTATAGGTGGTCTCCCATCAAAATCTCCCACACTTTTTTTAAATTGAATTAATCTCACACTGTTAACTTTTCTTTTTTCAGTTGGGTACATTCAGAGACCAAGTTTTCCTTTCTCTTCATTCCAAAAGGAGACAGCCTTTAAAAGTGAGATTAGCTGATCTGAATACTCCTTTGTGGTCAATTTTATCATTGCAAACTGTGATTGCCGCTCTGCTTTAGATTGCTCGTTAATTCTTGAATTAAGTAATTATTCAGGATTCATTTGGATAAATGTAAAATAACAGCAGATATTATTAAAAATTCTTGTCCATTTTCTGCTGTTAAGAACATGTATTTTCCTTCTCGAAGGTAATTTTAATACTTTTTGCTTTTCTATCACTCCTAGATTATAGTTCCCTAGGTAGAAAACTGGGTCTTTTGTTTTTAGGGCCTTGAACTGACAAATATACAAAATTACAATCTGCTTATTAACAAATACTTTCTTCAGCCGATAATATAAATGCAAATTAACAAAATCACTCTTCAAATACAATGTATTTTTAACTAGTCATTAACTATCAGGCTTGCAATTATGTTTCTCTGCCAGGATCACAGCAAAGAAGGTTGCTATGTTTTGTTCCTTGTTATCTAAACTTTTTTTTCTCAAACAGATCCTCATATTATGGAATAAGCAAAATTTAGTCTGAGTTTTGTAACTTGTTTGGATTTAAGAAATGTAGGGAGAGTTTCATTCTAACCAAATTCTTCCTGACACAACAGTTCTTTCTGATTTTCCAGTTTTGATTGCTTTGTTGAGCAGAGAGAAAATTGCAGAGTTCATCTTCAGTTTTTTGACTGATTCACATCTTGGTGACTAGGGAAAATTGCCTAAGAAGTTGGCATTGCTCAAAAGTACTGATAAGAAAAAAATAATTGTCCCATGTTCATGCTTAGAAAAGACCATGGTATGATCAGCTCTAAAGAATACGAAAGTCCAGTTAAGTTGGATAGGACCACCCTGGAATGCACCAGAAAGTGCTTATTTTCTGTCAGTACAGTAGTTTGACTACTGCAAGGGGCTCTGTGCATTGTTTTCAAAGCTACAAAGACCTTGGGTGCATTGTTTTCAAAACAGCAGAGTTCCTCTGAGCAAAACAGAGAATCTGAGAAGGGAAAATATTTGCTAAGCTATAAAAAGCATGGCCAAAATGATCATTTTTACTGCCCCATCAGTGTTCCACATATAGTTAAATAATTTCCTATATTTGATTATTTTTATGTATGTGCAAAGAAAATGGATTTTTAATGCTTTCATAAGATGTTTTATGAAAATATTTCTGGGCCATATTGACTATACACTTAAATGTCACTAATTTACTATGAATGATGTTTATTTCAGATTGGGTTAAAGTTTGGCATTGTACTAACTTTGGAGAAATAGTATATTGAATATATACAGTGCTACTACTGCATATATTTTACCTACCTAGGCAAACAGATTGTAGTAGAAATCTTGTTCCTTTGGTTAATCTCTCTTGCTTACATCTTTAATTTGATCGCAGTCATGACTTCTTGCCTTAACTTTTTTAAAAATTGTGATCAAATACATATAACATAAACTTATCATCTTAACCATTTTTAAATGGTTAAGTAGTGTTCAGTAGTGTTCAGTAGTGTTAAGCAGTTCAGTAGTGTTAAATACATTCACCTTGTGCAACCAATCACCAGGACTCTTTATTTTACAAAATTGACTCTGTGTCCATTAAAAAACTCCCTCTTCCAGCACAGTCCCCAGGCACTGACAAGCAACATTCTACTTTTGTCTTTATGATTTTGACTACTCTTAGTACCACATGTAAGTAGAATCATACAGTATTTTTCTTTTTGTGACTGGCTTATTTCACTTAGCGTAATGTTCTCAAGATCTGTCCATGTTGTAGCATGTGCAATTTCCTTCCTTTTTAAGGATGGATAATATTTCATTGTATGTATATACATACCATATTTTGTTTATCCATTCATCTATCAGTGGGCATCTGTGTTGCTTCTACTTTCTGGCTATAATGACTAATATTGCTATGAATGTGGGTGTACAAAAATCTATTTGAGTCCCTGGTTTCACTTCTTTGGGGCATATACAGAAGTGGAATTGCTAGATTATGTGGTAATTAATTCTATTTTAGTATTTTTGAGGAAATTCCATACCATTTCCCCTAATGGTTGCACCACTTTACTTTCCCACCAATACTGCACAAGGGTTCCAGTTTCTCCACATCCTTGGCAACAATTGTTATTTTCTGTTTTTGCTTGTTTTCATGGAGGTCTTCTTAATGGATGTGAGGTGGTATCTCATTGTGGGTTTGATTTACATTTCCATGATTAGTGATATTGAGCATCTTTTCATATATTTGTTGGCCATTGTGTATCTTTGGAGAAATGTCTAGTCAAGTTTGCCCATTTTAAAATTAGGTTGTTTGTTGTGGAATTGTAGGAGTACTTTATATATTCTAGATATTGACCCTTTATCAGATATATGATCTGAAAACATTTTCTCCCATTCTGTAGGTTTCTCTTTTTTTATAAGATTTTATTTATTTATTCATGAGAGACAGAGAGAGAGAGAGGCAGAGGGAGAAGCAGGCTCCCTGTGGAGCAGGGAGCCCAACAATGTGGGACTCAATCCCAAGACCCTGGGATCACGACCTGAGCTGAAGGCAGACGCTTAACAGACTGAGCCATCCAAGTGCCCCCCATTCTATAGGTTTCTCCTTCTCTGTTGACTGTGTCCTTTGATGCACAGAAGTATTAAATTTTGATGTAGTCTATTACATCTTTTTAAAAATTTTTGTTGTTTCTCCCTTTAACTTTAGAATATCTTTGCTAATCTTCTAGCTTTTCTTCCCTAAGCTTTTACTGTCATATATCATCTGCACTTTCTATATACACTTTCTCACCTCTCACTCCTTAAATCCATGGTTTCAGTGACAGTGCCTGGGGGATACTGTAAATTTTTTAGGGAAACACAATAGTGTTTGATGTCTTTCTGACAACACACAAAATATTAGCTTGAGATAGTTCAGTTTTAACATTAGATAGCTCTACATTCCCTTCCATAATGTCATATCTTTGAAAAGCTGGATTTTCAGTAGTTGCTGTGATAAAAGGCAACTAGGGGTTGAAAATCACTGAGGAACAGGAAATGACAGTGGCTGGTGTCGATCTAATTCCAAAGTTTAGGAAGTTGTGTAATGTGTATTAGGTGCATGCATCCCATTAGCAACTGTGATTATTTAAAACTAAAATCAGGGGCACCTGGGTGGCTCAGTTAGTTAAGTGTCTGCCTTTGGCTCAGGTGATGATCCTGAGGTCCTGGAATCGAGCCCCATGTAGGGCTCCCCACTCAGTGGGGAGTCTGCTTCTCCCTCTCCCTCTGCCCTTCCCCCTCACTCTCTCTCTTTCTCTCTCCCTCAAATAAATAAATAAAATCTTTAAGAAAAGAAACTAAAATCAAGTATTTTTTTCTTTTAATTTTTATGTATTATTTTCTCAAATAGCTACTAAGTTGCTAGTATGTAAATACTGAATAAGTTGTTTGGAATTAACTACTTAATAAACTGTTCAGTGTTTCTTTTGACCTGGGAACACTAGAAAAAAATTAGTGAGATACAAAAGTCCCCATAAACTAGGAAAGTTTGGGAACTTCTGCCTTACAACCTTTTCATGTGGCTTTACTCATATCACTTTATTGAAACTATTTTCTTGAATGTGACCAGTGTTGTCCTTCTTAATAGCAAAATCAATTATATTTATTCTCAGATGTTTTATTAGCTTCCTGTGGTTGTTGTAACAAATTAGCACAAACTGGATAGCTTCAAACAACAGAAATGTATTCCTTCATCGTTCTGGAACCCAGAATCCAAAACCGAGGTATCGGCATAGCTGCCAGCCCTCTGGAGGCTTTAGAGAAGTATCTTTCTTATCTCTTCCAGCTTCTGGTAGCTGTTGGAACGCCTTGACTTGTGGCCATATCATTCCAATCTCTGCCTCTTACGGACTCACCAAGGCTCCATAACTGCCCAAGCTAATTCCTTAAAATCAGTTTCTCTCTCTCTTTCTTCACACACATTCCATTGGTTCTGTTTCTCTGGAGAATCCTGACTAATGCCCTTTAACTGCTTCTCTGTGTTCTTTACCTCACTTCATTAACATATGTAAAAAATGAAGTCCTTTTTTCTTTAGCAAACTAGCCTTCCTCTAGAAGTCAGTGTCTCTCTATATGATATCACCACTTAAAAACAGGCCCTTCTAATCTGCCACACAACTGCCTCCAGACCTGGGAGGACTTGCTTATATTAACCACATTTCTAGTGTCAGATGTAAAAGTAACATAGATGATGATTAAAATGCTTGATTTTAGGGGCGCCTGGGTGGCTCAGTTGGTTAAGCAACTGCCTTCAGCTCAGGTCGTGGTCCTGGAGTCCCGGGATCGAGTCCCGCATCGAGTCCCGCATCGAGTCCCGCATCGGGCTCCCTGCTTGGCAGGGAGTCTGCTTCTCCCTCTGACCCTCCTCCCTCTCATGCTCTCTGTCTCTCATTCTCTCTGTCTCAAATAAATAAATAAAATCTTTAAAAAAAAAAAATGCTTGGTTTTAGAACCATGAGGCTCAACTCTTCTATATTCAGTCTATACTCAGTAAATAACTCTTCCCAATTACTTAGCAGAATTCAATGAAGCATTAAAAAGAGTAGGCAGCTAATGTTCCATAAAACAAATTATTTCATGTACCCAGTTCTCTCACTTATGCCTATTTCAAATCTCCCTATTCAATTCCCTTTCTTTCTTTCTTTCTTTTTCTTTCTTTCTCTCTCTCTCTTTTTCTTTCTTTCTTTCTTTCTTTCTTTCTTTCTTTCTTTCTTTCTTTTCTTTCTTTCTTTCTTTCTAAATCTTATAGATTCAACTGGTTTTGCTTCTGAAAGCAAACACCTCCTTTAGGTTTCCTTCTTTGTGTCTTGTTGCTCTACTCTTCTTACCTTACCTTGTATTATTTTCTCTTTTGGCCTCACACTGAGAAATCCATACTCAATTGTCAAGTTCATTTCTTGAAATCTTTTTCTAACTGGCCAGTCCCCTGCATGCTGACTCTTAAAGCCTCCCCAGCACCTACAGAAATATGGTCCAAGTGATGTGGAGAACAAAGACAAAAGACAAAAAAAAAAAAAAAAAAAAACTTCCTTACAACTTATAGCCCATTGACAAGTACTTAAGAGAGGCAGAGTGACCTTCCTCAAGGAGCTTTAGCTACCTCGATGTTAATACTTTGCTAGAGGCAAAGGGCAAGCTTAGCTTGACATTAGCTGGAGCCCCACGATCCTGTAAAAAATCCCTTTGGAAAATTCCTGTATCTCTACCCCCCCAAAATATATGTTAGCAATCATCCTCCAGGCATATGGCCCACCAATATACATCTGAAGGATATCATGACTAAGGTTTTACTAGACAGTAGTAAATGACCTTTTCCCAACAACAGCTAGCTCTTCAAGGTCCTGGAAATCTACCTCCCAACTTGAAAGTATATAATCAGCCACTTCTTATAACCCCGGTGCACCTTTTTCTCCCTACAGGTCCTATCCCTGTGCTTTAATAAAGCCACCCTTTTTGTACTGAAGACATCTTAAGAATTCTTTCTTGACTGTGTTTGTTCCTGAACCCCAACATTTCACATCATAAACTCCTCAGCTTGGCACCCAAGACTCTCTGCAATGTCTTTCCCAATTGTGCCCCGTGCTTCAATCAAACTGACACAACCACTCCTAAAAATGACAGTAATATTGTCTTTATCATATTGTTTTCCTAATGTGGAAGACAAATCCTCGCTCTCCTAGCTATATCCCCAGGTCTTTTTCTGCCATCTCTGCTTTTCAATATTGAGGCCATCCTTTAGAGCCATGGCAACTTCCATGAAGTCTTTCCTCACTATCAATTATGTATGAAATCTTGTTTCTTAAAATGCCTTTAGCATCATTTTGTGTGTCTATGTTAGCACCCCCCCTTACTCTTTCCTGTGGTCACAGATATACATAAACTTACCCCAGTCTTCATATCAGACTGTGTAGTCCTTGATATCAGGGCCTTTTTCTTGCTTCTTTTTGCATCTCATATGCATGTAGTAGTCATTCATTCATTTGTTCATTCCATATATTAAGTGTTCTGGAATTGGGGGTACAATCATGATCGCAGTGCTCCAAAAATATTTCTGGGATTTAAAAAGGCTTGATGATTTTTGTTTTGCACATGGGAATTGATGTTGCGAAGTCACTCATCCTCTGTGAAACTAGGAAATGAGAGTGCTGAATGGTTTTTCAAGAATGCTTTTTTTAAGGGGCGCCTGGGTGGCTCAGATGGTTAAGCGTCTGCCTTCGGCTCAGGTCATGATCCCAGGGTGGTGAGATCAAGCCCTGCATCGGCCTCTGCGCTCAGTGTGGAGTCTGCTTGTTCCCCTCCTCTGCTCCTCTGCCCACTTGTGTTCTTTCTCTCTCTCTCTCAAATAAATAAATAAACTTTAAAAAAAAAAAAGAATGCTTTTTTAAGTTATCAAGTTGATGATTCTTTGGTCATTAAAATGATTATATATTCACTCAGTAAAGCTACCATTTGGGAATATTTCTGATTTGTTTATGCAATTAAACTGAGTTTCTTTTGAAAAATCTGCATGGTAAGATTTTTCTTAAAAAAAAAACTTTATGGTAATTATGTTTTTAGAAGTGACTGCTCAAACAGTTATTAAAATTACATCCTCTAACCCTTACCTCTTTCTTTAAGAATAAGCTGATTTAACAGTGACACCTTACTGTTGGCCCTACTAACTTAGGTATTATTATTTCCTATTATTTATATGTGTGAATCCATTGCTGAATGAAATATTATCAGGTTTTATTTTTTAACTCTCAGAGATTTGGAAATTGAGGCATAGAGAGGGGAAGTCGGCAAGTTTCAAGGCTAGGACAAGTGTTTGTAAGAGACAAAAATCATTTGAAGACAATGTATGCAAATAACAGGATTTATTATAAGGGTACAGGAGAAACTCACAAATCCCAAGGGCCTGACTTCATCTGTGCTTCCTTCTTTCTCTCTCCCTCTCCGAATGGGATCTTTCTACTTGTATAGTGTCATGGCAGAATGTGGCCACCCTACACTTCCCAAATTGACAGTCACAATTCTAGCCATGTGCAGAGATTCAATAATTGTTTGTAAGTCCAAGTTCCACATTCCTAGGAGAGCATGTGATTTACCCTGCTGGCTCATGTGTCAAATCATCCTTGATGGAACTGGCTGGCTTACCCAGTACACACACTACCCCATCAATGAAAGGCAATTACCACTGGAGGGGAGATGGATCTTAGGGTTGGAAAACAGGCTTAGAATTCCTACTTTTTTACAATTTGGTGGAACTGTTTCTTAGAACCTAAGTTGTAAGTCACTAACTCTAACATATAAAAAGAGCAGTTAAATAACATAAATGAATGAAGCTGACAGATGGGGATGGTGGCACCCAGAAAGAGCACAGGCTCCATCTAAAGGGAGCTGCTACTACTCAACTCTAGCTTATAGATGCTCCTTGGGATTTTGGGCTCAGGGTAAACCTTCTGATTTTCAAATGAACTCAGAATTGGGATTTTATGAAAATCTCTATATAAATTGATGAAAGTGAACCATTTCATTTTACTTTGTGAGAGCTATACTATTTGCTTTAGGCTTTCCTAAAGAAGAAACCCTATTATAGGAGAAAAAAACCACTTAGAAGCTATATGACCATGAACTAAATTTTTTAACCTTTCTGGGCCTTGATATTTTCTCTCTCTCTTTTTAGAGATTTTATTTATTTGTCAGAGAGAGAGAGCACAAGCAGGGGGAGCTGTAGGCAGAGGGAGAAGCAGGCTCCCTGTCAAGCAAGGAGCACGACAGGGGCTCGATCTCAGGACCCTGGGATCATGACCTGAGCCAAGGCAGACGCTTAACTGATGAGCCACCCAGGCGTCCCTGGGCCTTAATTTTCTCTAATGCCAATACCAGTGTCTCATTTTGTCATGGAAATCAGGTGAGATATGATTTTATAAAGCTTTTAACATGTATTAGGTGTTCAATGTATGTTAGGCTTCATATCTACTAGTTAAAATTAAGTCCAAAATAATACAGTGTGTTCAAAATAGTATGTCATTAAAAACAGGGCAAGAAAGTTAGACTGAATTTCCAAACATCAATAGCAATGATCTAAGGTTGGTTTCCTTTTTTTTTTTTTTTTAAGATTTTATTTATTTATTTGACAGAGACACACAGCAAGAGAGCGAACACAAGCGGGGGAGTGGGAGAGGGAGAAGCAGGCTTCCCACTGAGCAGAGAACCCGATGTGGGGCTCGATCCCAAGACCCTGGGATCATGACCTGAGCCAAAGGCAGACACTTAACGACTGAGCTACCCAGGCGCCCCTAAGGTTGGTTTCTTGTATAGGTTATAAAACTGCAGTGTCACTGTTAATGGCTATGTCTTATTTAACATTTTATTCGAGTTGTAAAGCATCAAATAAGGAAAATAACTCTTGGTCATAAAAAAATAAATATCAAGCATTAAGCAATTTTTATATGAATGTAATTATAATCCCCAGCAATCTGTAATAAATACCTGACAAAGTTGCTAAGATCTTTAAAACAATAGAATGTATCACAGAAGAGTCTTTCATTTCAGGCTCTGTGGTATTTGAATGAGTCACTGAAGAAAGAGAACAAAGAGTTTGGGTTAAAGATCAGTTCAAGCAAATAATATCTCTTTATTACTCTCTCCTGAGTGAAATCTGGGCTGAAGTCATCTTAATAAGTGATGTGCATTTTTGCCCTTGCTTCAGCTTTTGCACAGCAAAAGAAACAGTCAACAAAACCAAAAGACAACCAACAGAATGGGAGAAGATATTTGCAAATGACATATCAGATAAAGGTTTAGTATCCAAAATCTATAAAGACCTTAACAAACTCAACACCCAAAGAACAAATGATCCAATCAAGAAATGGGCAGAAGACATGAACAGACACTTCTCCAAAGAAGACATCCAAATGGCCAACAGACACATGAAAAAGTGCTCAACATCGCTCGGCATCAGGGAAATCCAAATCAAAACCTCAAGGAGATACCACCTCACACCAGTCAGAATGGCTAAAATTAACAAGTCAGGAAACGACAGATGTTGGCGGGGATGTGGAGAAAGGGGAACCCTCCCACACTGTTGGTAGGAATGCAAGCTGGTGCAGCCACTCTGGAAAACAGTATGGAGGTTCCTCAAAAAGTTGAAAATAGAGCTACCATATGACCCAGCAATTGTACTTCTGGGTATTTACCCCAAAGATACAAATGTAGGGATCCAAAGGAGTACATGTACCCCAATGTTTATAGCAGCAATGTCCACAATTGCCAAACTATGGATAGAGCCAAGATGTCCATTGACAGATGAATGGATAAAGAAGATGTGGTATATATATACAATGGAATATTATGCAGCCATCAAAAGGAATGAAATCTTGCCATTTGCAATGGTATGGATGGAACTGGAGGGTATTATGCTGAGCGAAGTAAGTCAATCAGAGAAAGACATGTACCATATGACCTCATCATATGACCTCACTGATACGAGGAATTCTTAATCTCAGGAAACAAACTGAGGGTTGCTGGAATGGTGGGGGTGGGTGGGATGGGGTGGCTGGGTGATAGACATTGGGGAAGGTATGTGCTATGGTGAGCACTGTGAATTGTGTAAGACTGTTGAATCACAGACCTGTACCTCTGAAACAAATAATACATTATATGTTAAAAAAAAAAAAAGAAGAAGAAGAAGATAGCAGGAAGGGAAGAATGAAGGGGGGGAAATTGGAGGGGGAGATGAACCATGAGAGACTATGGACTCTGAGAAACAAACTGAGGGTTCTAGAGGGGAGGGGGGTGGGGGGATGGTTTAGCCTGGTGATGGGTATTAAAGAGGGCACGTACTGCATGGAGCACTGGGTGTTATACACAAACAATGAATCATGGAAAATCACATCAAAAACTAATGATGTAATGTATGGTGATTAACATAACAATAAAAAATAAGTGATGTGCACTTTCTAATGAAAGAAAGAGGGAACACTGTGGTTCAAAAGAGTTGTTGATAATGATAAAGATGCATATTGGAATAAAAGCGCAGGAAAGCACAAAGCAACCAGCTTTTTAATGTACTATTTATAATGGGATTTTCACCCTGGTTTGAAGAAGGGCCTTAGCAACAGAATCTTGAACCTCATTGTCATGATCTCTAAGGTCTTCATGTGGGTAGGATGGTTAAATGGCTAATGAGGATATTTGCAAGCCACTTTGAAAATAGAGTATTCTCTCTCTTTCCTTGTTTCTCTGTCTTTTCTAGTGATGCTAATTAACACTTACTTTCTCCTCTGACGTTTAAATAGCATGTACAGCAAAGCCTCCCTAATACTGAGTCTATGATGGGGTGCAACCTTCTTTGTCTTTTAAGTATCTTTGTAGTCACAAGAGAGACAACTCTAGCGTTTCTATATTAGAGGAATTTAGGACTAGAATCTGCATCTGATTGGAAAGCAGTGTGAAGGGGACTATGAAGCTGAGCTTACAGAGCAGGGGGTTTTGTGCTTGTGTGCATGTGTGTATGTGTGTGTGTGTAATAAATTTGAGAAATCATTCATATCAAATAATTTGGAGGGTGCAGCTGGAGCTAAGCAAGATTATGGAAGAGTTAAAATCCCTTCATCCTCATCCTAAACTACCCTTTGGAGGTGCCTATAAACCTTAGTCACATGGTTGAAATCCAAAATAGATTAACCTTTTGCTAAGTACTAACAAAGACTTCAGATGACAGCTTCAGGGACGCTTGGGTGGCTCAATCGGTTAAGCATCTGCCTTCGGCTCAGGTCATGATCCCAGGGTCCTGGGATTGAGTCCCACATCGGGCTCCCTGCTCGGCGGGCAGCCTGCTTCTCCCTCTCCCTCTGCCTGCTGCTCCCCCCTGCTAGTGTTCTCTATCTCTCTGTGTGTCAAAAAAAAAAAAAAAAAAATGACAGCTTCAATGTATGTATTCTGTTTTTTAGGGGTAAGCTAGATTAGTGTGGTGACCTTTATTTAGGGATTGCCAATAAAGGAGTTAACTCATATATTTTAAATGTTAATGATGGGAACAGTAGTACAATAAATCCCAGAAAAGGGATTGTTCAAAAGTCATTAAAATAATTATATTGGATCATATATATTTATAATATTTTAATAAAGCTTCTGGTGAGATGGACAGACACCATACAATATTCTTATTTCTTAACCAGAAAACAGACTTTATTTGCTGTGACAAGTTGCCCAGATGAAAGTTTGCATTTCTACCTCCCTTTCAGCTAGATGTGGCCATGTGATTAAGTTCTAGCCAATGAGCTGGAAAAGCTGTTGGGTGAGTCTTCTGAAAGGCTCCTTAAACCAGGCTAGAGAATGGCTGAGGACCCTCCTGTTTCCTGATAGGGTGAAGATATGATGGCTGGAGTTCCAGCTGCTGTCCTGGACTTCACACAGCCTTGATAATAAAAGTCACCGGATAGTGGAAAAGAGAGATGAAAGGAACCTTGGTCCATGTTGACTGTGACATGACATACCTACCTCCAGACTTTCTTTGCATTCAAGAAAAATAACTTCCATCCTATTTAAGCCACTATTATTTCCAGTCTCTGCTACTAACAGCCAAATATATTTCATAAGAGAGACATTTCACTCACCAAAACCATTATGTATAAATACTTCTTACTACACAGCTCTTTAGTTTATAGAGAGAGAGCTTGGATAGCAGGCGTGTAAATTGAGAGATGTTGTGTCCTCCAAATTCATTTGTTTCTTGAATTTTGGATAGCAATTATGGAGAATTTGGACACAGGTAGGTTTAAAGGTGAAATGGCAGCTAGTTGATATTGTACATTCCCTGTGTGTAACAAGATAGTGGCAAGTTCACATTTTAATACCAATAATGTGCACCCTGGATTTATTACTGTAAGTGGAAAGTGAACATATACCAATGAAAGAAATGGCAAATTCTTGCTTTTGTGCTACTCAATTATTAGGTTGGCAAAGGTGTCACGAGTTACTCAGATCCTTCCATGTACTTTTTTTTTTTTTAAAGATTTTATTTATTTATTCATGAGAGACAGAGAGAGAGAGAGAGACAGAGGGAGAAGCAGGCTCCCAAGGAGCAGGGAGCCCGATGCGGGACTCGATCCCAGGACGCTGGGATCATGACCTGAGCCGAAGGCAGACGCTTAACCATCTGAGCCACCCAGGCGCCCCCTTCCATGTACTTTTCATTCCTACCTCCCAGTCTGTCACTCACCCTTGCACTTGGCACTTCTGATCAATCTTATTAAACCAGTTGACTTTCATCGTATGACTACACTGGGGTCTCTCATTAAGAAAAAGTTGAGTCTGTCACTACGGATCCCAGATCCAATTCCATTTGGCTTCACTATAGAATTCCTCTGCTTGGAGTCCCCTGACTCACAGACTCAGAGGGTCCATCCCAGTTGCCCTGATAGTAGTACCCTTACCAGCCTTCCGATGATGGCAGGGACTGTTTCATTCAGGTTTTCTGAACTGGTTTTCCTTCTTTTTTTTTTTTAAAGATTTTATTTATTTATTTGACAGAGAGAGAAATAGCGAGAGCAGGAACGCAAGCAGGGGGAGTGGGAGAGGGAGAAGCAGGCTTCCCGCTGAACAGGGAGCCCGATGTGGGACTCGATCCCAGGACCCTGGGATCATGACCTGAGCCAAAGGCAGATGCTTAACGACTGAGCCACCCAGGCGCCCCTGGTTTCCCTTCTTAACATTCATATCCTGATCCTTTTCTCTCTCTCTCTTTTTTTTTTCTTTTCTCTGAAATAGCATCACAGCTTATGTCTTCACACTCTAGCCCTGTGGTGTGGCCAGCTCATGTGGGTCTCATGTTCCCATTTCCCTTGTCAGGGTTAATTTCACTTCTGATCAAAGAAGCTCATTCCAAGGCCCTTACTCGTTGGCTATTGTTTCTTCCTGAACCATTATTTCACGGAAGGATAGCACAAGCCCAGTTAAATCACAGCTCACTTTCCCTGGCTGTAGACTTGGTAAACTCCCGTCAACTTTAACTTTGATTCTGGTTTTTTTTTTTTTAAGATTTTATTTATTTATTTGAGACAGAGAGAATGAGAGAGAGAGAGCACATGAGAGGGGGGAGGGTCAGAGGCAGAAGCAGGCTCCCTGTTGAGCAGGGAGCCTGATGCGGGACTCCATCCAGGGACTCCAGGATCAGGACCTGAGCCGAAGGCAGTCGCTTAACCAACTGAGCCACCCAGGCGCTCGATTCTGTTTGTTTTTAAAGATTGTCTTTCCTCCCTCCCTCTCTCTTTCCCTTCCTTTCTTTCTTCCTCCCTTCCCTTCCTTCCTCCCACCACCATGGTCAGTGCCCTGATATTTTCCTTGTAACTATGGCTCATTAACAGTAAAGTGGAGCAGAGGGGAGAGATCCCCAGTGGATTCTCAGGTATATTCTTTTTGTTGCAGCACATCTCAGATGTTTATAATGGAGCTGGAGTGAGCGTTGGAAAGGATACACATCTTTCTGTTCTACAGCTCAAGTCTGGAGTCAAAATACATTTGAGGTAATGGGTAATGAGAAAAATACAGCTCAAAGTAAGGCAAATTACACTTTTAAGAATTTAAAGTCTGCCTGTGTGTATGGGAGGCTGTATTTCCCAGAGGGAAAAGCTCCAGGTTTTAATCTCCCTCTCATGACTGCCTCCCTGTGTGATGCTGAATGCAAGATGGTAAAAGGGGAAAGAAAAATGGTAGCAGGGGGGTCATCTCGGAGTAACCCTATTAGCCCACTACTTCCTTATCTCCATTGGGTTGTCTCTTTCTATTCTCTTCACTGCCATCCTTCTAACATTAGAGTCGTTCTGTGATTTTTTTCTGGTGTCTCCGGATGGTGTGTCGCTACAGCCTGCTGGTGTTTGGACCCTTGGCTCTGGGCGGCACCTTTTCTGCCTCCTACCACAGCTCACTTGTCTTGAGCATGGACTCATCAAATATTTATCGAGTCCCTCAGCTCCCGGGCTTGGTGTGAATGACAGACCAAGGCCGTTTGGCTGCATTATCACCTTGCACTTTGGGCTCAAAACAGTTCTGGGTTTGAATCTTGCCCTGTCACTTGCTGGATATCATCCTGGAAACATTTACTTCACCCTTCTGGAAATCTCAGTTTCCTCATCTGTGAAATGGGGACAATAATAATGCAGGAGTTTGGGGGTTTTAACGATAATGATAAACAGTGGCTAGCTCCTAGAAGATGTAAAATTAGTAGTGACTATCATATTATTGGTCACCCTTTCCATAGATCATTTATGGTCACCTTTAATGCTTCAACTTTGTGAATTGCCAGCGCCTTACTGAGGAATCATTTTAAGTCTAATGACTGGGGGTGTGGGACGTTTAGGGAGTCAGGGAAGTCCTTGTCGTTTCTGACACTAGAATACCCAAGTATCGGCTGTCTGAGAAAGACAAGCAGAACGAGTTGCTGAAGACACGAGAGAGGTGTTCTGAGGATACACAGAGGTACGTTTTCAAATCAGGCAGCCTGGTTATAAAACGCCAGGGAACAGCAACAGCAGACCATGAAGCAAAAAGTAGGTCACTTGTTTGGAGTCAAGGTGTCAGGTAGCATACTAGGTGAAGAGCCCAGAGCCATAACAGTAACAGGCTGTGAAAATGGCAGCAGCAGCCGTAAAGCAAAGGGCTGCCTTCCTGCACACGCCGGCCGGCTAGTCTGCCACCCTGGCACACAGGCAGAACGATGCCGTCAGCCTTCGGCGGCAGCATCTTGAACATAGAAGACAATGATAAATCAAGAGACGAGTAACCGGTTATGTCCAAGGGCAGGAGAGCCACTCAAGAGAAAGTGGGAATACAGCTGTCCATTGATTTTGTCTGTCACCGGAATGTGTGCTGTGCTTTTCAAATGTTTATGGCTCCGGATTTTAATGTGTCAAATTTCAGCAAGCCTACATGAAACATCTGCTTGTTTGCAGAGTCTTGTGCATGGAAGAGACATTCTGCTATTATAGGATGTTTGGGTGTCATAAGAATTTTTTGAAATACTGATTTTGTGTGCAAGTCAGAAAGGATTGTGAGCTCAAAGGCTGGGGCTCCCACTTCACATGCATTTGAGCAGTTGTCTGAGCTGGTCAGCTTGGGAGGAAGGAGAGGTAGACAGAACACTGTTGGCCTGGGAGGGACAGGAGCCCATGGTGTTGGCTCTGCTCCATCATGCTCCATGTCACCCCCTCCTCTCCACTCCACACTTCCTTCCCCTTATTATACTCACCTCCTGCCCACTATCCTTACCAGCCTAAAACTCGGGAGAGATGGTTGAGATAAAAAAGCAGCAGAGAGCAGGGGTTTTGATAAACCCTGGATTTGGAAATAGGTGCAAAGAAAGAAAAGACTTAGCCATCAGATGCCAGTGTTTCACTTCAGTATCTGATTTAAACAGAATCTTACCAAATTTCTTAGGCCTGTGAAATTAACTGCACTATGATTATCACCTTTTAAAAAATAACTTCTCCATCATGGACTAAATATTCTTTAAAGTGCTATATTAATATTATCAAAGTTACTGAAAATAAACTACCTGAGACCCAAACTATGATGTAATGCTAGCATTATTTCCTCCAACATCTGATACAGATTAGTTTTATGCAAAATGGTATAATTAAAATTTCACATAACCTAAAGTCCATGATGAGCTTAGAACAAATCAAAGTTATTTGGAAAGCAGGAGCTATGAAAGCACACAGAAATATCCTAGCTGCCCTAGCGCTTTCAGCCGTCAAGGAACATACTGGATTCTGCAGCATTTGAGTAGATAAACGGCCTTTCCAAAGCCCACATTTAAATGAATATAAACACTGGTTCTAATGTGCTCCTTTTTAATAAGAATAAATGATGGGTTTGAAGAAAAATTCATATGGTTTTCAACTGTAAGGAAAAACAATTTGGTCAGAAAATGTGCCTTTTCATCTACTCTTAGAAAAGTAATCTTCCCGGATCTCCATCAAAGGTATTGATCTCATCTGAAAAGATAACAAATGGGTTAGGGAATATATTCCTGTTAGTAAGAGTTATGTGTTTAAGATTTAATGACTGAATACAAAAACTCCCCTTGGGAGAAGAATGAGGATGTCAGGAGATACTCCCCTTGTATGACTGCGAAGAATGCGTACATTTATTTATTTCCATTTGGTGTCTTGACTTGACAAAAGAAAAATTTGAATTTATGGCTTTAAATGGCTGGAATACTGGAATGAGCTTAGGATTTTTATAAATTTAGACAACATCTAAGAAGTGCTTCTACTACTGAAAGCAGGGAAAACTATTTAAATATTTTAGAATCAACTGACAAGGAACTACATCATTTTTTTGACTTTTTTTTAAAAAAAGCACCTTTTATTTTTCAGACTATAAAGTATGTTAACATGTGAGCACAATTATCATAGAGTATTTCCGAAGGGACACTCTTCTTTGAAGGGACACAATTGTTCACATTGGTTGATTCCACTCGGTGGCAATGCAGAATAAATAAAAATATACTTTTTTTTCCCCTAAGCTCAGGCTCAGACTGTGAATTATTTTTTTTATTCTCCACTAGCATAAAATTTACTTATATCAGCTACATTAATGCAAGCATAAGAACTTTATTCTTCAGAGAGATTAGTTTCATGAACTAAATTTAGAGCCACTTAGTTTATCTCATGAGTGATGGTGCTATTTTGAAAAACAGGGATGCAAGGAAACTTTTGTCCACTTTTGACTTATCTTACTTGAAAATGTGTATTTAGTGATAGAATAGGTAGATGCTTGCACTTAGTTAGTAGCCTGAAAATATAGGGATGAAGGTTTCTCTTTTCAAGGATGCCTCTCAGATGAGTTTGTAGAATCTTAAGTGCACCTTCACAGAGTTACTGGGGAAAAAAAATACTGGGAAAAAAACGTGGTGTTTTTCTTCCTACATACACTCTAAAACTTGAAGATAAAGCTCTACAAATAGATTCTAACTTCTATCCATGTATGTATGATTGGTCCTAAGTGTTTGAGTGAATCAAATTTCCTGTGGGGGACAGAAAGTACGTAAAAGTAAGTGCTGACATATTTTTTCATTTTATTTACTGGAAAATAAAATGAACTTTTACATGAATGTTTGTATTCTAATTCACAAGTGATCTGCACTTCTACCCCCCCACCCACCTGCTCTAGCCTTCTCTTATTTTTTAATTTTGTGCCTCCTCCCTAAATGTTAACATTTTGATATCGCTCTTATGGTCTCAGTTCAGATTTTGAAATCTTTTTTAATGGAGTGAGAAATAGAGATTAGAAAAGGTTTGTATGTCTGTAACATTTTAAAGGAGCTGCATACCTTCATAACACCTCTTCACCTATTATTTATTTCCATCACGTTCTTTTTCCTTCCTTGTCATTTGTGCTCTCAACTGGAAATAACTCTCAGCATCATATCACTCTAGCGAAGCTGACGAGGTTTCCATAATTCTCTGTGCTGTGCTACATAAATTGAGAACATAGGGTTAACTTCAGAAGCCAAAGACCTCGAATTGTAGAGAGAGAAGCAACATGAGGTCACAGCGTACTGATTGAGTCACTAACTGCGTTGGGGGAGGAGAGCTTGTTGAACCCGTTGTTTGATTGTTCACCTGATAATTCACTTTCTATGGAATAATGTAGACACAGTCTGTGCCAAGCTTTTACTTGCTTTCTTGTTCCTTAGTTTTGCTAAAGGAAAAAAATGAGTAGGGGAACTTTGCCTGTCTCTGAGTCTATTTATTGCAGATTTTTCTGATTTTCAATTCTAAAGCTTGATCGGTGGTAGGCTCCACCGTAAGATGAACTTCCCTATCTTGTTTCTCAGAATAGTATTGCATTTCCCCTTATGATATTTTAGAAGGGGTGTCTGACCCAACAGCATTGATTTTCTCAATTACCATAGTCATGAATGGGTGGTTAAATTGAAATATGCATCATTACAGCACATAACTCTGTAGGCTGATGCTGAATTCAAGAAAGAGTTGTAATGCCATCCTAATAATTTTGCGGTCCTTTTCTCTATGGAAATGATCTAAGCTTACATATCCCAGATAAAGGCAGTTGAATAAATGCGGTAAAACAAAATTAGAAGAAGAAAAAAAAGACAGAAAAAGAAAACCTATGATTATCCACTGCGTAATTTTCAGATGTTCTAGCTCTATAGTTCTTACCAGCATGTAATTAAAGGTGTATTTTCCAAATGGAATCAAGGCATTGCTGTAGAAAAATATGAAGCAAGCATTCTTTATTCTGCAGACATGCAATTTCATACATCTTGCCCACTGTATTGTCCTCATCATCATACGGGAGCAGGAAGAAGAGCCCTGCTCACTCCAAAATATAAGACAAATTTGTCTCGAACACACAGAGACAAATAAATGAGTTAAATGTTCACCAAACTTGTCTCTCTATAAAAAGTATAAAGACACAAAATGAATAAAATTTGCATTCCTTACCACTTGATATAAATTATTTAGAACCATAAAATTTTAGATATTAAATAGACTTAATTTTGTGTATGTCCAATGCTGTTATTTTTCACATGAAGAAATTTTGTGCCTTAAGTAAAATGACACAGAGGTACATGCAGTGAAACTTAGGTACCCAAAGAGAAGTCATGAAATCTTGAATATCAGTTTTATACCCACAAATGCCTGGAGTTCCTAAAGTTTACAAAAATGCATTGGGACCCTGAAGATAAAGAGATTAATGAACTCCTCAAAGATGATACAGATGGGCAGTGGCAGAGCTGACGAAAACCTACCTTTCCTGATTCCCATTTTCATTCTTTTTTTATACTTCAAAAGAGATTATTTTCAAAGCTCCTAAATTATTAAATCATTGTGTTTCTTTAGTGGGGAAGTGGAGGGATTTGGACCCCTTCTAGAAAGATACATTTTTACGGTATTTTATTTTATTCTGCACATTTCTAGAGTGTCATCCATGAGGGCAGAGAGCACCACGCTGGGTGAGCTAGGTGTGGCTGTGGCCATATGGATGTGGGCCTATGACCTTGATTATCTTTTTCATGGGAACAACGATAAAGAAGTCCAAGATGATGGGCCTCAATGCATTTTTATAAACTTCGGGAGATCCAGCCATTTCTGGGCATGAAATTGATATTCAAGATTTCAGACTTCTCTATGGGCACCCAAAATTCAGTCCCTGTGCTTATGTGTATTTACTTAGGCACAAACGTGAGTTGGCTTCTATGAAACACCAGTTTCAAGAAAATAATTGGCTCTTGTGTGAGCCCAGATAATCACCCAACATCTATATCAAAATAAGATTTTTCTTTCCTTTCTTTCTTTCTTTCTTTCTTTCTTTCTTTCTTTCTTTCTTTCTTTCTTTCTTTCTTTCTTTCTTCTTTCTTTCTTTTTTTAAGATTTACTTTTAAGTAATCTCTGCACCCAATGTGGGGTTCAAACTCACAACCCTGAGATCAAGAGTCACACGCTCTACTGACTGAGCCAGCTAGGCACCCCAAGATTTTTCTTTTCTTGCTGTTAAATCTTGGAAAGAAATTCTCAGGAAATAATAAAAACTTCTGTTTTGTAGATTCAAATAAATTCATAATTAATGCTTTTTCAGTAATGATGTAACATGGGTCAGTTATGTGACAAAATTAATGTTAATAATTTTATAAATGGCTATAGCTTAGTATTTATGACATTCTAAGAAGCCCCTTAACTTTTTCTATTATGTTTCACAAATATTTTAGGAAAAAATTATATGCTATCATGATAGCTTGGAATTAAAGAAATCTTTTTTTTTTTAAGATTTTATTTATTTACTTGACAGAGAGAGAGAGAGCGAGCATGCTCACACAAGCAGGAGGAGCAGCAGAGGGAGAGGGAAAAGCAGACTCCCCTCTGAGCAGGGAGCCCGACAAGGGGCTCAATCCCAGGACCCTGGGATCATTGACATGAGCTGAAGGCAGCCACTTAACAGACTGAGCCACCCAGGGGCCCCTACAGAAATCTTTTTTAAGTTCTCTGGATGTATCTCACTTAAAGGTAGTTATACTTATTTTGGAACAAGGCATTCATACACAAAGAAACCTGTGGGTTCATAGAGTAGAACACAAATCAATATAAAGCAATACACAAGTAAAATGCCATTAAAACAAACACTATTTGTGATGGGAAAAGTTATTTTCATAGTAATCATGTTTATTACCTGTTACTCTTGTGAATCTGTCCATGTGTTTAAGCAAAACTAGTGGTTCAGTACTCTGTGTTCTCATAGGATACTTATTCCTTAGTTTCTATACAGTAGTATAATGATGGTATGTTTTTACCTGTCTGTCTTTTTCTCTATAGGATGAGCAGGGATGATGTTCTCTTAGCTGTTCCTATGGTAGATGGCAAGTGACTGTTGAAAGGATGAATTAGATATTGCTTCAAGTAAGTGCCAACTTGTTGAAATTCAAAAATAGTTTTCTCAGAGAATTCTACTTAATAGCAGTAATTCTAACAATATTAGACCTATTGTACAAACTGAATCCACATAATATGTTTAAAAGACCCTGAATAAAAGTTATGGACCCAGAGGGTATGATGATATTTTTCTATTAAAATTGTGGTGAAGTATAGGAATTTTATTGTAAAAATGTGAGGCCTTGGGACACCTGTGTGGCTCAGTCGGTTAAGTGTCTGCCTTTGGCTCAGGTCATGATCTCGGGGTCCTGGGATTGAGGCCACAAGGGCTCCCTGCTTAGTGCGGAGTCTGCTTCTCCTCCCCCTTTGCCCCTCCTCCCACTTGTGCTCTCTTTCTCTCTCTCTGTCTCTCAAATAAATAAAATCTTTGAAAAAAAAAAGTGAGGCCTTTCACTAGAACAGTTATCTACTAGAATGAAACTTAAAGTTTTATTAAGAAGAAAATAAATGTGTCAGGATATATCAGGTGTGATACTTCTACTATTACATTTAATCTTCACTGTGGTCCAGAAGGTATGTATCATCAGCCAAATATTTCAGGCAAGGTTATCTGCCTCAGAGTTCATAGCAAATCAGGATTTGTACCCAGGCATGTCTAACTCCAAAATGTCAACCTTCTTTCCAGGACACTACACATCTACTCAAGGTAAAAGATAAGATGATCAAGAAAAGGATAACCACATTCTTTTAGGTAAGGCTTAAAACCATATAAAAAAATTATGTGAGTTGGGGCGCCTGGGTGGCTCAGTCGTTAAGCATCTGCCTTCAGCTCAGGGCATGATCTCAGGGTCCTGGGATCAAGCCCCGCATCGGGCTCCCTGCTCGGCGGGAAGCCTGCTTCTCCCTCTCCCACTCCCCTGCTTGTGTTCCCTCTATCGCTGTGTCTTTCTCTGTCAAATAAATAAATAAAATCTTAAAAAAAAACATTATGTGTGTTAAAAAAAAATTTTTGTATGCTGATAGTGAATTAATTGGAGTACCTTCCAAATCAGTTCAAGTGCTAATTCTAGTTGTTTTCCTATTACTGCAGATAAGAAACATTCTGCGCCAGCTTTGCAGTTTTAAGTGACAAATTACTTACATTCATATATACATTCTCAGAGCACTAAAACACTACGAAATAGATGCAAATGTCTGGCATTGATTTTTCAAAAATAGTGATCAACCCATTAGCTAAGGTTTGTGGATGTAAGGGAAACAGAACAGACATGAGGAAGTTCGTTATTACAGGGAGGGGCACACTACTCAAATTCTTCTCCTCAAATGAGTCCATCGAATTCACATTTAGAATCCTGCCTTCCACAGACCTAGGGAAGCATTCTGGTCAAACAAGCCTGTGCTGCTCCCTCCCAGAAAAGGGTGATTTCACTGAGGTGAGGAGCTTGCTGGAGCTCGTTCTGGGGAACCTTGGTGTCCAGCTGAGATGTGGTTGGAGAAGAACCTAGCCCTGTAGGTAGAATGCAGCAGGATCTGTGTTAGTGCCAGAGGGCACCTTGGCAGGGGGGAGTGCTGCTCCCGGCAGCTGCACTGGTTCTCTCCATGTGCCCTGAGACATGGGCAACCATAACTCCAGGAAATGGGCTCTGGAACCACAGGATAAATCCAGTAGACCAACTGGGACCTGTCTCACATGGTTTCCCCGAACTATGTGCCATGCTGAGGGGGACTTTCGGATTACAAAGAAAACCACAGACCCATGATGGAGTTACTTATGCCAGGCTGAGCTACCACACTGGGGCTTAATATTTAACCTACTTGCTGTTTTCAACCTCCTTCAGAAATGTGGTCTTCGCTGGTCAGTCAGGAATTTTCTGGTCAGCAGCAATGGGGTAATCTGTCACATGGGCCCTCTCCTTCCTCCTCCCCCAAAGGAAGAGGAGGTAATCCACCAAGGAAGACCCCCCCTGGCCTTCCCACTAAGGGGAGGTGACCTTGCCTGGAACAATCCTTTTCTTTTGTTAATAACTTCCTTGCCCCACTTTCCTTCCTTTAAAAACCTTCCATTTTGTATAATTCCTCAGAACTCCCTTCTACTTGCTGGATGGGATGGAACCTAATTCATGAATTGCTTAATAAAGCCAGTTGGATCTTCAGATTTACTCAGTTGGATTTTTGTTCTTCAACAGGATCTGTGACAAGAGAGGCTGGTGTGGAGACTGGGACGCAGGGAGGGTGTGAGGGCAGCTGAGACAATAAAGCCCCCTGGTAGTGTGCATCAGAGGCCTCAAATGCTTTCAGAGGCCCTGGGCCGGTGGGTAACCTAGAGATCTGCAAAGGGCCTAGTTGGGGCAGCCATTTTGCAATTCAAGAATGTAGGCCCAGCAAGGCCCGTTCTTCAAATTTTCATGAGAAGCTACACATTAAAATTGTTTTAAATGTGAAATGTACTGGTTTTTATTTATTTATTTATTTATTTTATTTTTATTTATTTATTTTTTTGACAGAGACAGAGACAGCGAGAGCAGGAACACAAGCAGGGGGAGTGGGAGAGGGAGAAGCAGGCTTCCTGCTGAGCCAGGAGCCCGATGTGGGACTCAATCCCAGGACCCTGCGATCATGACCTGAGCCGAAGGCAGTCGCTTAACCAACTGAGCCACCCAGGCGCCCAAAATGTACTGGTTTTTAAATATTTACAACTAAATTAAGATTTTAAAGTCGTGAGAAAGTCAAAGAAAATAATCCACAGGCCAAACTGCCCCTCCCTCCCCCCTAGCCCCCCACTTGCAAGCTTTGGTGTAGGGCAGCTCTTTGGGACTCTGGAGGGAAAGGGCTACCTCATTCCCCCTAAGAGACGCCAATTTCATTGGCCGTGGTTGGGCTGCAAGTGTCAGATTATCTTAATGTGAAGTCTAGGTTGAACCCTACTGAGTAAGTGGTATGAAGTGACTGGATACCAGGTACCACTGGGCCATATCATCAAGGCTTCCCTGGCTGCCTTTTCTCCTTACACAACATTATCTGTAGAGTCCACAACATCAAAAATTCCCTCTACCTGCATTTCTCCAACTTAGATGTGCATAAGAATCACTCAGGAGCTTATTAAAATGGAGGTTACTAAACCCTACTGTGGGAGATTTTGATTCAGTAAGTGGATTCTGAAATTTGCTCTTAACGCCCACCTTAGTTTACTGTAACACAGATGGTCTGGAGACCACACTTTGGAAACACTGACTCATCATGGATGCTGTGACTGACACATCTGTTATTCCAGCTCTAGCTTCTTGCCTAAGTTCTAGATCTGTAGTTATGACTACTTACTGTAGGGAAATGTCTACCATCTTTCCCTGGATAGCTCAGACCTCCCATTGTCTGAATCCAAAGTGTGTTGTCCTTCAAAACCTGCAAAGACTTACATTTTTTATTTCACTGAAACTCATCATCATCCACTTAATTGCCCAAGCCAGAAATCGGCGTTTGCACCTGTGGTGGGTGGGGACTAGTTTGGAGTATGTAGCAGGTACCAGCATGCCTTACCAAGTAGCTGCTTTCCTAGCCAGGTCTTGCCATGTCTGTCTAGTTATTTTACCATGGCTTTCTAAGTGGAATCCAGTTCTTCTGGGACAAACCAATAATGACAATGGCCTTATTTATTGAGTTTGACTGTGTCAGGCACTCTTCTAAGTGTTTCACATGCCTTAATTCAATTTTTGTGAAGCCCTTGAATTCCCTGTTGTGTTTTGGCAGCTCAGTATCCCCTGAAGCTAGATCTCGCCCCCATATTTCCATTTGCCACTGGGGCCTCTGCTTCAGAATCGATAACTTCATCTTCCAGCCGTGAAACCACCCCTCTCACTGCAGACCCCAGCATCTAGGATCCCTGCTGTTGTTTTCTGCTCATGATCCCAGGGATACTGATGGTTGCCCAACTTGGAATCGCATTCAACATGTCTCCTTAGCTATGGTAAATCAGGTTGCTGCCTACACTCAAACAGTAGAGTGCTTCCATCAGAAGGGCATTTGGCGATTATCTAGTCCAATTTCCTTACTTTAAAGACTTGGAAACTGAGGCCTAGAACCGTAAAGTGATTGGTTAAAGGTAAGGAAGGAGTGAGAGTTAGAACTGAGGATCAAGCCTGAGTTTTCTGTTTTTAGGTCTAATGCTGGAACGCAAGCCCCATCCTAGTAGAGTGACATGATCCTGGGATTTCGGGCTGTGTATTTCCTGTATGTGCCTGGGGTGCAGTAACTGAATGGCTACACGAAGGATGCATCAGGCTGTGGCTGGTTGGCAACGCAATGACCGGAATACCCTTTGACATAAAAAACTGTGGTTATATTATAGGATGGTAATGTTGAATGCAATACATGTCCTATTTAGCACCTCTAGCAAAAATACAGTGGAGGCAATAGATACAAGGTTGTGACAGCTAGAGCTAACTTAATTATTCTGCCCAAATGTCCCATGAAAGAAGCTCACCTTGGCCACCCTTTCTAAAATTTTGACCCATTTCTTTTTTTGATGCTGTAATTCTACTTACTTTTCTTAATCAAACATCTCACCGTCTGAAATTCTATCATTATGCATTTTTGTGTTTACCATCTGTATACTCGCTTAGAATAATCTATGTGGGAGCAGAGGCTTTGTGGCTTTCACCACAATAAGGCCAGCACTTGGAAGTGTCTGACCCAGAAGAGCTTCCTGAAAATGATGGTTTTGCAATTTGGAATGGAAGCTTCAATAACAGCCAATACCCTGGCATTCGGAGGCTTGATGTACCTCCACAAAGGAAAGCAAAATAAGTACCCTGTGTTGTGCAAGGCTGGAGTCTGGATGTGAAAGATTTGGATAATACCATTTGAAAGGATATTTACCAAAAATAATCTTTGTCATTAAGTAAACGACTTCTCCAGTGTATTTTGATCCTATATGGAAGGAATAACCCACTACCATAAGTAAAATTATAACATTTAGACAGGGGATACTTGCTTATTTACAAATATAAATAGAGTAGCTTGAACAGTGTCCCCCCTCCCCGCCCAAATTCATGTCCACCCAGAACTACAGAATTTGATTTCATTTGGAAATAGGGTCTTTGTAGATATAACTAGTTAAGGACCTTGAGATGAAATCATCCTGGATATGGGGTGGGTCCTAACTCCGATGACTGGTGTCTTTATAAGAGAAGGGTGATGGAAATTTGGACACTCAGAGACATGGAAGAGAAGATGATGTGAAGGTGGAGGTAGAGATTGGAGTGAGGCATCTTTAAGCTGAGGAACAGCAGGAGCCGCCAGAAGCTAAAAGAGGCAAGGAAGGCTTCTCTCCCAGAGCCCTCAGAACAGAAGTCTGAAACAGAATTTCCGACTTCTGATGCCCAGAACTGTGAGAAAATACATTTCTGTTGTTGTAAGCTACCGTTTGTGGCAATTTGTTCTGGTAGCCTAAGAAATGAATACAGTGAGTATAGGAGATACTTGCTTCCTTGTGGGTAGGAGGATGGTCCATTTGTCCACAATATTATGAAGTTAAGGATTGTAACACCTAACAGCTATGAGTGCTAATTTGGAGCAGATGATCCTGTCTGTGAAACTAAATGACATCCTAAAACTCAGAGGAGTGGGCCAGGCAGGCCTCCAAGCTGAGAAGCTATGGTGGAGGAGGGGACCCAGACACTGAAAGAAAGCAGTCCAAGCCCCTTCCTTATTTCTTCCTACGAACCAGGGAGGTGGAAGTTGGGGAGACTTGCTCCCTCTAATCCATGAGGGAGGCCAGGAGAGCAGCCTTTCCAGTCTGTGGGTGGAGGGTGAGGCTTACTGCTTCTCATTTCATGGCTACATGAAAATACTACCGTTCTCTTCAAATACAACAGGAAATCATTTTCATTTCTTATAATTTAAAATTCCTGGTGCCAAGTATTTCTCTGACCTTCCCTTTATTCCTGCTTAGCCTGTCTACCTGACCCCACCCCCTTTACTGCTAAAAGGGCTGGGACTGAGAAGTCCCTTCCCAACAACCTGGCTTTCCCTACTTCCCCAAATGACATATTTCACTGTCCCCTACCCCCTGATCCTATGAAGGACCTTAGCAGTCCTTCTCCTCCTCCTCCCCCACTCCAGCTCCTTCTCTTCAGCCCCTCTCCCTGCTTTCTCTGCTACCCTTTTCCCTGTCTTTCTCTCCTGCTTCAACATTTAGTTGTTGCAAACCTTCCAGGTAATGAGCACTGTTCTGGGCTGTCCCATTTGCCGGGAATTTCTCCTTTCTCTCTTTGCCACTTGTCTAAATTCTCCTTATCCTTCATTGTTTGCCTCAAGCTTCTTCTTCCATCTGGTCTTCTCCAGCAACTCCTAAGGACAGTTTTATTTCCCCTTTACAAATTTCTATAGCCCTTATGGTCAGTAAAATGCATTTGGCCCCAGTCATATGTCCCTTGTATTACTATTTATGGTGATTAGAAGCCATTTCTTGTCTGCTCATTTAGATCATGAGTTTCCTGAGGAAGCAGACACACTGTATTTATGTTTGAAACCTCAGCACCTTGCAGTGCTTTGATGGTCTAGTTGCTTTGGATATGTTTATTGATTGGGCGGCGTATTTGGTATTTTCAAATGAAATCAGGAGCTCCGGAAGGCCAATATATTTTTGTGTTCCCTCGAATCAAGCCCCCTCCCCTTGGGCTGGGTCTATCAAACCAGTCTAAGTGGGTCTGTTGGAAACAGCTTGAAGGAGGAAAAAGACCATTTGTTTTAGGAGAAACCAAGCAGGCAGAAAGGAAAAGGTCAGCTCAAAACTGTCCAAAGGCCGATTTGCCATTTAAAACCAACAGTCACATTCCTGTGGATGAAATCATCACTAGTCTCAAGCAATCACTACCCCCTGGGAGTGAGGCACTGGCCAGTCTTTAGGGTCTCGGTGTGTGTAAGAGAGGGTTGGGGGGCAGAGGAGAAAACAAGAAGGAACTGAAGGGAGTGGGCAGTGAAACAGTTGCCCCTCTCTATCATCATAAGAGGAAGGGCTCTTTGAAGGAACTATTGCGTTTATGTGGATTCTTCAGGACTGTATGTGAATCAGGGGTGATCTTGGCTACCAAGCAGGTGACGGCTCAACTTCTGCTACGACTCTCATTCTCTCTTTGCTTGACTCCTTTGCTTTAGAAACTGTACAGAAAAAGCTCTTTGTCCAGCCACTTACAGGGTAAAGGGAAGGCCAGGTGAATTGGTCCTTTGGTGAAAGAAACTGTGGGACATGTAGAATATTAGAGGGCAGAGATGAGATGAAGAGCAATGATAGTAAAAAGAACCTTTATGGAGAACTTAACATGGACAGACCAAATGTTAAAAGGGTAACACGCATTATTTAATCCCTCTAACACCCTGTGAGGCGTGTGTCGCTAATTTACAGAGACGTTCGGTAGTTTGGTAATTTGCTTACTGTCACATTGCCACGAGGTGTGTGGCTGAACCAGGATTCCGGGGCTCAGGATCTAATATTCCAAGCAGCAGACATGCGATGAGCATCTTTTCCCAAGAAAAATTCAGGACATGTGGACTGAAATATATTAGTCCACATTGGGTACAATGGAACTGGACATTTGCAGTTAGGACTGTTGAGGCAAATGCTGAGAGTAAGTCACTGGCCTTCAAATACCAGAAGGTAATTATGTTCAAATTTCTATTCATGCATCCTGGGCAATAAGGAAATTATGCTGTTTATATTTGGAGTGTGCAATTAGCATCATCCTGATTGACCTATTGGAAGTTAAAAATAGTTTTGCTTAGAGTCCACCAAATCACTGATGAAAGTTTTCCTGATAGACTTGGTAGAGATTACTGATACTTCTGGCTATCGCTTCCTTTTGCCATTTAGAGAAGGATACAGTTTGGTCATAATCATCATTTTCACCTATTTTTGAAATGTATATTGAACTTGTCTTTTTCTTTTTAAAAAACACAGAGTATAACTGTATTACTAACCTACTGGGATATGTGAGGTGAACATACATCAGCTCATGTGGTTACTTCTGATTTCTGCACTTTGGGGTCAGATTTTACAAAGGAATTCTATTTAAACAAGACCCATTTTTAAGCCTGTCCGCAGGGTTGACTTGGAGGAGGTTGACGTGGAGGTGGAGTAGGGCAGATGATTGGATAGTGTGACTTGAGAGTTTCCTATCATTGTCCTGACACTGTCTGAAGCTGTGGCAAATTTGCTGATCTCCTCTATGGAAGATAGATGGAAAAAAAAAAATGTTTGGGTTACAGTATGGATGGGTTGAGTGGGAGATCTGAAGCTCTGCCATCTCGGTTTCTTCCTGAGGCTTCTATCCATACCGTTTCTAACACTGCTGGTCAACACTAGAGAAATGGCTAATTTCTGTGAGTAAGCAATCACCATCTGTGTACCAGACCAACAGATTTTGGCCCTGAGAAAAGTTTTCTTAGAACATTAATGGGAAGGAAGAATGATCTTTATGGACCACCTATTAGGTACTTGACACTGTATAGGTATCTTACACACGTTAGGACATTTAAATCTCCCAACAGGTCTGTGTGGTTGTGACTGTGATGGGAAGAGATTGCAGAATGGGGAGCACAATAGCCTAATCCTGAGTCGATCTGTCCTTGACCAGGCCAAATGACCTGCGTTGGGCCCCTACGTCCATATCTAGATCTAATATCTCACCACTTCAATGGTGAAGAAAGGGAGATCTAGGGATTCTTATTGAAGTTATAGGAGTTGTAGTTAGGGTTGTGATGGGACAGAATTCACACCAATAATCCCTATTCTGGGTCTTCTAACTGTGAAACCCACCTCCCTTTCCTGGTACATGGGGAGGAAATATAAGATAGAGCTAAAAGTGGATTAGCAAGTCTCACTGCCAACCTCCTGGTCCTTACTCCACCACTCCGGCTGGTGATGAGGTCTTGCATGAACTACTCAGTCTTCATGTGTCTCTTTCCTCGAAGGTAAACACGCAAGTGATACTCATAACAGTTATCTCACAAATCTATTGCAGAGATTCAACATTTGGATACATGGAGTGGACCGGTAGAGGACAAGCCTTCAAAAAGGTGAGCTTTTATCACTACATGTTATTGTGACAAAGATTAAGTGCAGAGGCCATTCCCTTGCCTGGTCTGTAAATAGGGCTGGACTGGAGATCCTGGCTGGCTCACAAAACAAAAGGCACAAGCTTCTCGGTCAGTGGTAAAAAGGGAGCATGGATAGTTGAAGAAAATCTTGGTCATTTCAGTATTTTGCCCTGAAGTGGTCCTGGAGAGTTATATTCTTTAAACCTTGAGATCTCTCAACTAAGAGCAAAGAGTAAGCATTGGTTGAGCTTATTCTTGAAATTATTATTAAAGAAAGCGAGATCATATGTTAAGAAGACAGGGATCCAAAGGTAAGGTAAACACCATGTAACTGAGGGCAGACATTTCAGTTCTGATGAACTTAAGTTCATTCTAGTAGACACCACATAAGTCAACTGATTGTGGAGGGAGTGCTCTCTCTCAACTAGACAGAAGAGAAGCTGCTTATGGATTTGTACCCCACTATCCTCTGAAATACACTATGTTTTACAGACTTTCAATGATGGAAAAGGGCCTTCTGTTTTGTTTTCTTCTGGGTTTTATTTTTTTTGGGGGGGAGGGATGCTGTTTAACAAGCCATACACATCAGTATTATGCTGCATAATTTGTGAAGCTTTAATATTTTCCAGTTTCAACAGACTGAAGACTCCTTGCTTTAAATGAGGATACAAGGAAAATATAGCACATGGAACGCATGTTAGAAAAGCTACACAGTTTAATAATCCTTTGGAAAATAATCCCGATGATAATTATAAAAACACAGTAGACTCTAATAGCCTGTGGAATTAATCTACTATTTATTGAGCCGTTTTTATAATTCACTACATTAGGGGTTGAGGACGCACTGGTGAGTAAGATTTTGTCTCTGCCTTCAAAGAGTTCATAGCTTGGAGGGGGAGAAAAAGACATTGCAAAAAGGTACAGCCAGTGTAAGAAGTGTCATTGTAAAATGTGCAAAGGGCTAGTATAGGAAACAGCTCTGTCTGGGAAAGCCTGTGAAAGCTTCACTAAGGAGAATCTTACCACGTTAAGAGTTCCATAAGATGATCACAAACTATGACTGTACTGTAGATACATGTGGTCATTCTTAGAAGCTAGAACAGATGTCAAAGCTAGTGAGAAGTCTGGCAGTGGACTCCCAGTGACGCATGTGTAGATTAGCTACACAGCGGCCTTGGGAGTGGCCCACTCTGCCCCATCTCAAAATCTGCTGACACCTCAGCTCTTCCTCTCGCTACTCAGTGCATTCCTGAATCATGCTGCCACCCAGGAGAGAGGCTATTTTTCTCCTCATAAGTTTGCTACTGTAGGCATATAGGAACGATCCCATTTTCCATCTGACCATACCAACTAGGGATCACGCCCATTTAGCACAGAGTATCAGTATGCTGGACAGCAGACTTTAATACATTATAAGCAGCTGGTAAACTAAGGTAGCAGTTGTTCTTAGGGGTGGAAGAAAACACAGGCCACACACCTACATGACAGAAAAGAGGTTACATCAGGAAGACAGGAATTGGTCAAATGTGGTCAAAGGTCTTCCTCCACCACGATGCAGATAAATCATTTGAGAGCTACAGAATGATAGGCTCCTGAGAGCTTCTAGCTTCGAAAATGCTAAAGATTGCACATGTGTGTGCTTCTGGTATATGTATGCACAAACGTGTGTATGTGTGGGCTTATATATGTGTGTATGGATATATATGCATGTGTACATATATTTGTCCATTTCTAAGTGTGTATGAATGTGTGCGTGCTTACAGATATGTGTGCAAATGTGACTATATTTGCGTGGGTATGTGTGTGCCAGACAGGGCACGCTGGAAAGTAAGTGTAAGACTTCTGTCCTCGCGGGCGGTCCCTTCCCACCCCACCTCCACACCACCGACTGATAAAAGCAGAAAGGATGCTCTATGACCTGAGACTGCATTAGAAAGTTTGCGGTTCTTTTGAGGCTATTCTACCGGGGAACCTCATTGGTCCCCTGCAGGATGGTGGATTTTACAAGAAGTCTGCGGATTCCCCCAGGACGAAGGGACTGCTGCTGACAGGCTAGCCTGTAGCCGGACCGCGCCCTCCCCGCTCGGGCCTCCACCCCACCTCCCCCGCCCCCACCTCCGCCGCTTCGCAAGTGGTCCCCAGCCTGCAGCCGCCGGCTCTGCAGAGGCGGGCCCGCGGGCTGGAGTCGGCCCGCGGCGCAGGAGGCAGGGGAGGGGAGGGAGCTGGAGGGCGGGGGCGGCGGGAGGCCATGCCTCCAGCTGCGGAGGCTGCCGAACAGCTGGAGCCATCGCGGTCACCTGCGCGGCGCCGGCGCCCTTGCGCTCCGAGCGGCTGCCGGGTGCGCGGCCGGCGGACTTTGCGGAGGGCGCCCGGCGTAGGCGGCGGCGAGTGTGGGCCGAGCCGGTATTTATAGCTCGGTGACAGCAGCGGCGGCAGCGACGCCGCCGGCCCGTCTCGCCGCGCTTCCCAGCGAGGCCGCCGGCGCGGCGGAGGGCTTGCTCGCCCGGGTCTCCGGTGTTGAAGACACCCCAGCCGGTGAGTGCGCGGGCCCGGGCGCTGGGCGCGCCTCCCCCGCCGCTCGGTGCAGCCGCGGCGGAGCCCTGCGAGCCCGGCTGCCTCCTCGTCCCTGCCCGCGAGTGCGGAAGCGGCCGCGGCCCCGGCGCCCGTTCCCCCCGCGCCTCGCCTCGGTTCCCGAGGGTGGCATGCGGCGAGCGGGGCAGGTGAAGTGTCGGGGAGGGGGACGGACGCACGGGCCCCTCTGCGAAAGGCCGTTGAGACTCCCAGGTGGAAGGCTCGCGGTGAGGAACCCTCACACTCCGGGGCTCCGAGGGTGGCGAGGGACGTCGCCAGGACGGACCTTGAACTTTCCTCGCTTGGCTGATTCCTGGGATGGGAACTCTGTGAGAAGCCCCACGTATTGTTTGTTAATTAAATTAACAGGTTGCCGTTCAGGGGTGCTCTCCTTAAAAACAAAAAAACCCAGAAAGGAAACTTAAGTGTTTACTAACTTTATCGTGACTAAACAAAGCTGTTTGTCGATTCCTGTTTTTGAAAATGCCATAGGCCCACAAGTGTGTTAGACCCATGTGATAACATTGGGCTGCCATTATTCATTCTACCCTCTGTGGAACAATGAACTGTGTGTGTGTGTGTGTGTGTGTGTGTAAGATGGTAGTAAACATCACATGCTTATTTTAGTACTTATGTGTCTAATGAACCAAAAGAAACTATGTTGAATAAATGCATTTACCCCTAGTTATAAATGATATATTGTTTGAAATCCATAGAAGGACTTCTAGGAAGAAAAAAGTTCTTCCAATTTATTGAATATAAAGAGTAGTAGAAGCTCTGTAAAAACTATTTTTGTTGTAAAGTATTGAATTTTTTGCCATGCCATACTTTCTAACACCCCTTGCCCCCTCAGTGTGAGTAGTTTTAAAGTAATTATGGATTTTGAAATTTTGGCTCGGGTATTTATCCCTACCCCCATTCCACCTCCATCGGATCCTTGTGCTCAGAAACCAATACTTGTCTGTTTAATTTAATTTGCCCCTTTAAACTGCCAACCACTTAAAAAAATAATTTCAGATATGAATGAATTTTATTGTATTCATTCACTGTTACTTTCTTTGGTGTGTGTTGAGATTCTTTATCATAAACAGATATCACTGAAAATGAGGTCTAAACATTTGTAAAGAATTCATTGGTGAATATTTTTCAACTTTATAAGATGAAAGGACTCGCAAATACTTTGCCATTTTAATGAAAAGTTAACTAATGTCTTTGTTAGGAGAGAACCCCAGACCTAACTTTGCTTCAGCTTCCCTGTTTTAAAAACTTGCATGGTTTAGTATTTTGTTATCCCAAAGATTGCAGGTTAAGAACGAGGGAAGAAAATCACTTAAAGGTTGAAACAATGTGAAGAGAAAGTCTGGGAAGTGATTTATGGATGCAATCCTCTAATTTAGCAAGGGTACCACAAATACTATCCTGGTATCTATGCAAAGCCACTTATGGTGGTTTCATTGATTGACTTAAAAGGTTGCTTTTTATTTAAAAGGCTGTGTGGTCTCTTGTATTGGACTAAAAGCAAAAAGTTCCTACTTTATTTCTGTTATTATTGTTATTTGTATTTTTAAAACCTGTATTAAGCATTCACATTATGTAAAATGCTCTATGTCACCTCCTCATGCCTGCCTTTTCACCTAACATTTCAAAATAATATACCAAGACTAATCCTTACCTCAGGGCTGGTCCAGGCAAATATGTATTTCATTTCTCCATCTTTCTGCCATTTCTCCTTTTACAGACTTGAATATCACATTATCCAGAGTCTGTTCTCCCTGGAATGGAATCTTCAGTGTTTTTTTTTTTTTTTTTCCTTATCCAGAGCTGGTCTGTTATCCAACCATGATCCATACTTTTTTTTTTTTACATTTGTTAATTCATCAGCAAATATTTGTTGAGTGCCTACCAGGTGCAAGTCATCACCTAGTACTTAACTGCTTCCTCATGCTCCTACTTCCTTCCCATTGGAACTTTATTCTGTATTTTATACTTCTCAGTGTAGGGAACATAGTAGTTATTAAGAGTATTGACTTTGGGGTCATACAGAGATACTTCTGCTGTTTCTGCCAGTTGGCAGCTGTATGACTTTGGGCAGATTATAACCTTTCTGAGTCTCTATTTCTTCATTGGTAAGTCCAAAGGGTTGGTATAAGGACTAATTGAGGTACTGAATGAAAAGCGCTTGCCTGACCCATAAAAAGCACTAAAAAAATGTTAATTTTTATTCTGTTGTCCATGTCTACTTCAATGGTGTTCATCTCAGGAAATGGCAGGTCCATTCTGGCTTTTGCCAGGCCATGTCCACATCCACTCCATCACGTAACTCTTGTCAGCTCTTCCTTTATTTATGTATTTAAAAGATTTTATTTATTTATTTGTCAGAGAGAGTGTGCACAAGCAGGGGGAGAGGC